TGGTCCGGCCTCAATTGGAGTACTGCGTCCAGTTCTGGGCACCGCACTTTAAGAAGGATGTGGTCTGCCTTGAGAGGGTTCAGAGGAGGGCCACCCACTTAGTTGGAGGGCAACTGGGCAGGCCCTACGAGGAGAGGCTGAGAGACCTGAACCTGTTCAGCCTCAGCAAGCGGAGGCTGAGGGGGGATTTGGTGGCTGCCTACAAACTCATTAGGGGAGATCAGCAGCAAATAAGAAGGGTCCTATTCCCCCCAGCACCACCTGGGGTGGAAAGGAACAATGGCCAGAAGCTGCTGGAGAACAGGTTCAGGTTAGAGATTAGGAGGCACTATTTCACTGTTAGGGTAGCTAGGATCTGGAACCAACTTCCTAGGGAAGTGGTCCTCACTCCTACCTTGGGTAAATTCAAAAAGAGGTTGGATGAACACCTGTCTGAGGTCATGTGATCCCAGCATGTGCTTCAATCAGTGACGGGGGTTAGACTAGATGATCTATTCAGGTCCCTTCTGACCCGTAACTACTATGAAACTATGACAAGGGCATGTCCAGGGCAGAAATTATTAGATCAAATATGCTGGGTTGGTCCTAAGAAGTGAGCCATGTCCTGCACTAGATGTCTGTGCCTTTTCATTAACAGTGGGTATGGATGAACACAGCCAGATCCTCAGCCAGGCTGGATGCATGATTTACACCTGGCCAATACACGCATCTGAACCTGGGTGGCAGTGGAAGTCTCTTACTAGAGATAGGTAATGCAAATCTCAGGCAGCACAAAATCTCCACTGCCTCACAGCAGAAATGCATCCAACTCCCAGGGCCTAACTCCCTTCTACCCACCTCTCCATGCTCAGTGGGGCCCCCTCTCCACTCTGCATTAGGCTCACTCTGCTCCAGCTCCACAGCCATGCCAAGGCAGGATGCAAGGTCCCAAGACATGCAGAGACACAGAGCTTCCCTGGGGCATCAGGCCATTCTGTACCCTGACAGCTATAGGTGGGGGCCACTTCCCTGAAGTTGCCTCTGGGACCCTGGCTCTCTCACCCTGTACACAGGCTGGAAGCACTTTGCAAACTCAGTAGTGGAGCGTGTGGGATCGCCAGCTCCATGGATCTGCCAATGTCAGCCAAAGGGGTGCAGGCTGCAGGCACCATGGATGCAGACATCCCTCCATGCACCTCCTGCCCTGCACTGGGTGCCCAAAGCTACCTGCTTGGCTCCGCACTGCCACACTGAGCTTGCCCCTTAGCTGGTAGAGGAAAGAGGGCAATGCCAAGCTGGGCTCCCTGCCTCCACACCCAGCACACACACAGCTCTGTGGGGCTCTAAATATCACTTCTTGGGGGTTGGCAGGTTAGACTTTATTTCAGAGAACAAGAAGAAGTGACTGCACTCAGCTGCTCATTCACGAGTGCAGGAAGCAGCTGGGGAGAGAGAACAGACTTCTTTATCCCCTAGGCAAAGTCCAGAGGGGGAGGCAGACAGCATTTGGGGCTCCAGTGCTGGTCCCCGAATAATTGATTTGGTTTCACCAGTGGTAGTGACAGAAGGGAACCAGCCCTGGGGAACCAGTCTCTTGGTGGCTCTAGACCTCAGACCAGGAGGATGAGGTGGATGAGGCTTTCTTCAAACAGCTAGTGGAAGTTTCCCAATCACAGACCCTGGTTGTCATGAGGGACTTCAATCGCCCTGACATCTGCTGGGAGGGCAACACAGCAGTGCGCAGGCAAGCCAGGACGTTTTTGGAGAGCGCTGGGGACAGCTACCTGGTGCAAGTGATGGAGAGGCGGACCAGGGCCCGTGCTGTTCTTCACCTGCTTATCACAAACAGGGAAGGGTTGGGGGCAATGCAGTAGTGGATGTAGCAACCTGGGCAGCAGCGACCAGGAGATGATTGTGTTGAGGATCTGAGCACAGGAAAGGTGGAGAGCAGCTTTTGAGCAGGCAGAGTGGGGCACTGGGACCAAGACTAGTGCCGACCAAAGCTGACTCAGACCAGTGGACTGGGAAGTGGGATTGATTTTGATTTCAAAGTGGAGCCTGAAGGAAAACAGCCCTGGACGGAGCTGAGCTGTGGGACCTGGCATGCGGAAGTGGCTCCTGGCCACGGGTCCCCGAGCTGCAGCGATTCAAGCCCCCGGGGATCCCTTTTCCTGGTGGATCATGTGCCTGCAGCTCCTGCAGCTGGGCCAGGCAAGCCCCGCACTCCCATGGCCCAGCTCGGTGGCCCCCACGCAACTCACACCGCAGCCTTGCCTCGTCCTGCAGCACCAGCCCCGGCAGCCCCGCTCCAGGCACGAGGAGCTGATGGAGGCTCTGGCACAGAGTTTCTGGGGCCGGGTGGGAAGGGGGTGGGGGTCCCTCCAGGCCCCGCAGCTGCGGGTGGGTTTCCCCTCCATAGTGGTTATTCCTTCCTCTCCCCATTCCCTTCTCTATGGTTCCCTTCCCCCAACACAGGGAAAGACACCTGTCTAGATCTTCCTCTGTCCCAGCAGGTGACAGGATTGTGATTGAGAGCGAGGAGCATCTGGAACCAGATGGGAAGGTGTCAGGAGGAGCCAAAGAGGACGTCTCTGAGCAGAGAAACCTTCCAGCATGAGGGCAGAGTGAACCCTGTCCCTGCTCTAAGTGAGGGGCTGCAACTCCCTCAAAGGCAGAGCAAAGCTGGGGGGCACCTCTATCCATGTGAGGACTGTGGAAAGGGCTTCAGGAGCAGCTCAGACCTCATAATTCACTGGCACATCTGCAAGGGGGACAAGCCCTACAAGTACCCTGAGTGCGGGAACAGGTTCAACCAGAACTCGTCCCTCATTGCCCACCAGCACATCCACACAGGGGAGAAGCCACATGCCTGCCCTGACTGTGGGAAGAGCTTCAGTCATGGCTCCACCCTCATGAAGCACCAGCGGATCCAAACCTTGAACAGCACGATATCTCCGCTGTCTTGCAGCAGAAGTGCTCTTGACTCCCAGGGCCTAACCCCCATTCTATCCTTCCCACCAAGCTCACTGGGGCCCCCTCTCCACTTTGCATCAGGCCCACTCTGCTCCATCTCCATAGCCACACCAAGGCAAGATGCAAGGTCTCAAAACATGCAAAGAGACAAAACTCCCTTGGGTCATCAGGCCATTCTGCACCCTGGCAACAATGGGTGGAGGCAAAGCCCCTGAGGTTGCATCCAGGGCCCTGGCTCTCTCATCCTGCATGGGGGTTGGGAGCACTTTGCAAACTCAGTAGTGGAGTGTGTGGGATCCCCAGCACCAGGGCCAGATGCAGGCATGGGCAAACCAGACAGCTGCCGAGGGTCCAGGCAGAAAAGGGGCCTGAAAATAGTAATTTAAAAATGATTATTATCATTATCTCTGGCAAAGGGGGGGCCAATACTAAAAGTTCACCTGGGGCCACCAGGTGTCTAGGCACGGTACTGCCCAGCTCTGTGGAGCTGCCTACATCTATCAGAAGGGTGCAGGTGTTGCTGCTGCAGACATCTCTCTATGCACCTCCTGCCCTGTCCCGGGTGCCCAAGGCTGCCTCTCTGCCTGGCTCCAGTCTACCACACTGAGCTCACCCCAGACCTTGTACAGGGCAGATGGGCACTGCCAGGATGGGCTCTGTGCCCCCACACCCAGTGCACACACAGCTTTGTGGGGCTTTAAATACCATTTACAGGGGTTTGGCAGGTGGGATGAGCTCTTCTCTGAGACTGAATCTAGCAACAGGTCTGAGGCTGCCGCTTCCTGAAAATCAGGTATGAGAAGCTGGGGAGTCCCTTAAGTACCTGAGTTAGCTGCTGTGTGGAGCTCTCCTTTAGTCCCACTGCAGGATCAGCCACCCATAGCCCCCAGATCTGGTGTTATGCTGCTTCCTCAGCACACACTCCTTTAGACAGGATGTTCAGGGACTTACCATAGTGCTGCACCTCCCATATCCCCAGCTTCCACACTG